AAATCAAATTGTAAATTTTATATACTCATTTATATGCAAAAATGCATTATTTATAAATTATTTATATAAATTATATAAATATTAATATTGTAGCAAACACGATCTGTTGAAATAGACTTATTGTTAATTGATTGAGTAATTCAAAACAATCATTCAAAATAAGTATGTTACGATCTTTTTCATGCAAGACACATTAGATATAAAATTTATACATAAAACCAATAAAATCACATAAAATTATTCACTACTGAGCTCCTGAACAATTGTAAGCTGTTAAAATACGCAATCTTTTCAATGACAGCCATTCAATATATTGATGTATATTCAAGAAAAGTCTATTATAATTTTCTTTATTTTTTAAAAATATATTGAACGAATAAAATTATTCACACTGCTATATATAATATTCTTTAAACTGTCAAAATAATTGCAATGACAGCTATTCACGAAGTCATAAAAATAAATTTTAATATATAATAACATATAATATATAATATATAATATAATATTATAGAGAAAAATATTTGAATGTTGTGCGTGTTACAATAATTTATGCTATTATTTAATTGAAGCTTTTATCGAGGAGGGTTATCACAGTACAAATCCTTACCACAATAGTGTACATGCTACAGACGTCACTCAGGCAATGCATTGTTTTCTCCAAGAAGAAAAGGTAATTATATATTTATATATTTGCAGATTCACAGACAAATGTAAGCGGATTTTTGATTATTTAATCATTTGATAATTATTTTCTTTAGCTAAATAGAATATGTGATCGAAAGTTATAAATTTGCAGATTAAACCACACCTAACCAATTTAGAAATTATGGCTTCCTTGATAGCGGCTGTAACACATGACTTAGATCATCCTGGTGTCAATCAGCCATTTTTGGTTGCGACGAGTAATCATTTGGCTGCACTTTATCAGGTAGAAATTGTTTAGCTAAATATATTTTTTTTCTTTCATATACTAAATATACTGAGAGAGAGAGAGAGAGAGAATATCATATAATTTTTAAATTTAGCAGGATATAAAAATAAAAACTTGACAATTTTCAGAATACCTCTGTTCTCGAAAATCATCATTGGAGATCAGCCGTAGGATGTCTTCTAGATAGCGGAGTCTCGGCAGAATTACCGGCCGATGTGAGACCGGAACTTCAACGGCATATCAGTTCATTAATTTTAGCAACAGACATTACGAGACAACAAGAGTTTCTTACATGTTTTAGGGTATGATCCATATTATAAGTCCAGTTTTCGTTTTGATTAACGGAATTAATCATCTCGTTGTATGTTACAGGATTATTTAAACCACAATTCTCTCGACATGAAACGCGCGGAAGATCGTCATTTTATTTTGCAAATTGCTCTAAAGTGCGCCGATATTTCCAATCCTTGTAGACCGTGGGATATATCAAGAAAATGGTCTTACAAAGTTTGCGAGGAATTTTTCAGACAGGGCGATTATGAGCGTCGTCTAAATCTTCCGGTAACACCGTTGTGCGACCGACATACCACTAGCATCCCAAAGATCCAGGCTGGTTTCTTTAAGCACGTTGTTACTCCTCTTTATATGGAATGGCACCGTTTTCTTGGCGATGGCCTAAGCGTATCATTAATGGAATACTTGAAGACGAATCAGAAAAAATGGGAAGCATTGATCAATCAAGAGATTGAACAAACAGAAACCGAAATTTCCGAGCTGGACGAACCTGAAGGCGCTATTAGTTCAGGCGAGGAAACAGCTGCCAATGATGATTCAGGCAGTATCGATTTATTAATACCAGCCGCTTACGCACAAACAGCGCGAATGCCGACGCTGCCAGGACGAGTTGGACTCGATCGTGTTGGTAGGCGTCACTCTGTACCTCTAAGCATATCGAAACCGTTGAGTGTACCTTCACGTCAGACACCGAGGAGAGAAAGTCTGCCGAGTGAGCAAATCAAAGGAAAGAGTTCCTTGCAGAAACTAGAAAATCAAAGTCTGTTAGAGCCTAGCTCGTTATCCCTGTTGTCCTCCAAAAGCAGCATAGCTGAGTCATCGAATGTTAGCGCTGAGAGACCAGTTAGTGCGAAGGATCTCCTACCAGAGACGAGTATAGCCAGTATTACCAGCAGTACCGAGGCATCAAAATTAAACACTGTTTTGCAATCGGATGATCAATCTAATGCACAAATCAAGCAACTCACACGACAACAGACCTTTCCTCCGTTGCAACCGTACACAAGAACAAGATATATGTCTACAACCACGGAGATGTCACAATGTTACACTCAGATCTTAATAGAAGCCGACAGTTCTTCCAGTTGTTCAACTCCCACGAAGAACAAATCGTGTTCAAGCGGCCGATGTTGTTCGCCACCATCTTTACATGATTCTGATACATGCTACCAAAAGAAATCCGATACCTTGAAAGTCTCCCAAAAATTATTAATGGTAGATACCAAAAGACGAGGCTCGACATTGTCGAATACGATTAAACAGAAGCATGCTCTCAGCTCGGAGCGCCGTCATTCTATGCAAACTATTCGCACCGATGATTCTTTTTCTAAACATCGGCGCAAAAGATCCTCTTCTGCTCAAGATTCCGATTCCACACAGGTGTTCTATGTTACGTTAACGGGCTCTCACGGAGACAAGAACAATGTTTCTGATATGTCTGCTGTGAAATCTAAATTGAATTTGGATTGTAATGTCAAACGTAACCGTCATAGTGCGAAATTGACAGTTCAAGAACTGCGGACTACGTTATCATCTAAAAAATTAGATCAATGTACTTCATCGGCTAAGAGTGCGTATTTTGATCAAGAGCCGCGAAGATACTCAACCCCTATCACAGAGTATAGAACAATGATTGACCATGCAGGTAGACGATACACCACGATACCAGTGTCTTCTGAGTTTAGCACTCATAAAGTGTTCTTTATCGGTAGTCCTCCCGATTCACCGCCTCGTAATCAGAGTGTGTCCTCGTCGAGTGATAGTAGTGGTGAGCCAAAAAAAAATATCGATGATTCGAGTAACGAAGCTGTTATTATTGGCAGTAAAAGGGAATTGGATTGCACGAAAGAAAAGAATTCGAAAATTATGAAGTTGAGTTCTGACGCGCAGATGAAGGAAAATGTTGATCCCCGTACAAACGACGATTTCGCTAAAACATTAGCGTTGTCTCGTAGAGGAAGTCAGGTAATATAAAAATTAATTCTTAAAGACTCCTAGTCCACTCTAGTTATATTGGATTATGTCATAAAAACGTAAATTTTTAGTAAATCAGTTTCTTTATATATTTTACATTCTTTATTGAAAATCTATATATGTATATATATGGATTCTCTTCATAAATACACATATATTTATTCTATTTAATAAATACATCATCTATTCTATATACATATTCTTCTATTTGAATATACATGTTCTATCAGCTAAGTCTGTTTGAATAGATCTTGTCAACAAATTAGCAACGAAAGAGCACTAAAATGTATAAGTTTTGTTCGATTGTGCTAAAGTGGCTGTGCCAACTTCTTAGACGTAATTTTGAATTTTAATATCTTAATCAGAAAAGAACTTCTTTCAAAAATATTACAAAAAATCTTTTTTCTTGATGTCTTCGAATTTTATAAGCATCAATAAAAAAGATTTTCTTTTTTTTTCTTTTAATAGATTCATAAATATAGTCATAATCGCCTTTTTTGAACTTTTAACTTTATGCAATTTCAAAGTATTAAAACTAAAAATTGTTAATAACTGTAAAATAATAATTTGACAGAATTAAATTCGTTTTTAACATGCAGAAATGTAAGAATTACGTGATCTAGTTTAAAATAAATATTAATTTTTATGTAGACTTTTTATTAATTTTTTAAACAGTTTAATACTTTTTATGTATCTTTGTTTGCATGGAAATTATGTCGCGTAAATTCTAGAAGTAACGACAAATATATAACTGTTGGATTCGAATATTTGTTACGAAAAAAATATATTGAAATTATTTTTTCTTCTATAAGCGAAATTTGTAAGGTCGTTATTGTTACCGAAAAAAGTAATTGTAACGATAATATGGCGTTACAAGTAACATGTTACTTTTAAAACTGATTTAAATTTGCTATTATTTTTTTCTGTTGTTCTCTCTTTCAATGTTTTCGCCTTTTTATATTATCAATATTTATTTTATGTTATAAATATCTCTTGTAATACTGAATTTTCTCAGGGATGGGCAAGAAGGCGTGGATCAGCTCCGGTCGGTCTTCTATCGAAACTCGATGACTCTAATCCAACTACTGTACCCACCAGAATTGATCATAGTTGTAGACGTGGATCTGTACCGACAGACATCGCTAGACATCAAGGTATATATATATTTTACTTGTAATTTGTAATATTTCTACTTAAATATATAGCATACTAATAAATGCACTCTTCTTTATGTCAGTCGGAGGTTGTAATCGGCTCGCTTTAGGACCTCGAGAAAACAATTTTTTAGCCCTAAGAAGAGCTAGTCTTCCGCAAGAGATTGCACTGGAAAATCTTTCTGAAAATGTCTTGACTTTAACTAGTAAGTACCTTTTAATAATATCATATATATAAAAAATAAAAATATAATTTTACATTAAATTATTTTAGGCGATCGTGAAAGCTTTTCAATCAACAACAATAATAATAACAACAACAATAGCACTAATAACAGCAACAACAATGGCATTAGTAAACTATTCGATAGCAGCGTTTCTGGAATGTTTTCCCCGAGACGAGGATCAGTACCAGCAGACATATCCGAGTTACGCCACGATATGTTCAGTAGAAATAGCGTAAATAGCAAATCACGCAGCCGCAAGAAAATTTTAAAAAGACGAAGTAGTGGGGGCCCGGAAATGTTCACCGGGGAATCCACCGACGGAAACGATAATGGCACATGGCTCAAATGGAAGAGGGAAATAGGAAAGCGCGATCCTGTTCCCGAAGCGCTTGTCAAACGAAGAGGATCTCTACCTATAGAGATGGTGGCTGTTTCACATGCTGGTCGGTACAACCATAGATAAAGGAGGATATCGCGTAATACAAACGGGTACAAATACGTTTTCCGAAAATGCACGTAAATCATCTTTATTGTGTTTTTTTTTT